TCCATAATTTTCCTGGAAATATGTAAAATTGACCAATTTTACAATAAACAAGCACATGATGAGTGTTTTTTTAATTCCTTTCCACTTTGTTTTCCCTCATTCAGCTATCTTCGAAAAACAACTGATGGCTGGCAATGCTGCACATGTTTCCGCAAGGGTTGCAGCATGTGGAATTACGAATTACGCAAATTCGGGTTCTAGAATAAGGGGGATAAACATTGTGTGAGCACTCCACATTTGCATTTACTACAGAGTGGAAGATTTGAACGCAAATGAATCCCATTTGAAAGCCGTCAGGAGGAGGGGAAGAACAAAGCTTATCTTTTCATAGCAAATCGAATTCGAGACAACATACGCACCTCTTTTTAAAAAGTTAGTAAAAACGAGTGCAATAATAAAAGCATCTTTTTTATATAACTTCTCATTTTATGTATAGTATGTATTTATAGATAATCACCCTCATTGCGAGAGTCGTGTAGAATGCAAGTCGTTTTTCGAGAGTCGAATCGTATCGAAAATTTCACGTCATTGCCTAAAATTTCAACTCGACTAGTGTATTAAAACGGAACAAACTTGGCAGCACTGTATAGTTTTCGACAAATTTCGTCGTTTACTTTTTTCAGCACGACAGGAAACAATGCCAATGTTGTCGAGTCGTACAATTTAGCCTAATTTACTGACTTACGCAATGAGGCTGATTGTAAACAAAAACGCCGGCCTGACTCCACTTTGAAAACGTCGCGCAAGATCCCTTTTGGTTGCCATTCAATTTTTCGTATTGCCCGTATTAGCGCTCGCGAAAACACAGAAATCAAGAAAATTCATTTATGATGACTTACAATCGTGCACAGTATATTTTACTTAAATTTTTTATCAAATTTTATTATTTAAACCCACGAAAATAACAATTGAAACGTTCTCCGTCAACAAATTTGCAACTTAGAAAAACGGAACTACGATCGAAATGTAGAANGATTGATCGAAAGGAAACGGAACGCAGAAAACCAAAATTGCCAAACGGAGAAAACTTCGATTCGAGTCGAAATGCAGAATAGGGCTGAATACCCTTGTGCACAAGTGCGCTCGGGTATAAAAATTACTGACTTGGGCTTTGTCCATTTCGTAGGAAATTTGCTTTGCTTAAACATGTAAAACGTATGCAAAGTTGTGCAAACTAAAGTTTCTGCAAAAAGAGTGATGGTCTGATTATGGCAACTTAACTTAACTTACGGCTCTCTTAAACATTCTGTTAAACGGGTGTTGCTCATAATTGAACAGCCGAAACTTAACGTAACTTAATGCAACGAAATCTGTTTCATTTTGATTCTCTAAGTTATGCGTTCCGTTAAGTTGCCATAACCAGGCTTTGAATGGCTAAAAGTCTTATCCTCTCCAGTAAAATATGTAAAAATGGATACAAGTTGCACATGGTGTGATAATTATAAATCCACCATGGGTGTGACCTACAAACATGTATTTTACAATCATCCTTTTTACTAATATGAATCCTCCTATACTATAATATACAATTAACTAGTTTTTTAATTTTGCATTTCTGAATGAGTTTTGCTTATCTTTCATCGCTTAGCATTCGATGTAACATCCGCCGTAATTGTTCTTCATTGCCATATTTTTCAGCATCTGCGCGAATTGCTGCGTGGTAACTTCCCGCTTCTGCTGACTTAGCATCTAGTTTTTGCCGATTAAACGTAAAGGAGTGGCTGAAAAGATAATAAGTACTATACACATATTACACAAAACTGATGTTTGCTTCGTATTTTAAAATTGGCTTACTTTACAGATACAAAACCCATTATTGCCCCAGTAATTCCTAAAAGTGCCAGCGCTAAGGCAACCTTCCAGTTGGACACTCGCTCTAATCCTTTAACTCCATAATAGGGGCCTGGATTTGGGTCATAATTTGGTTTTACTTCCCATGGTCTGAATAAGAAAATGTACATGCATATGTATCAACTGAAGTGGGCAAAAGCATATCGTCGTTTAAAGTACAAAACCGCGTATCGTGATTCTGCAAAAC